GGGAGATGGCTCAGTGGAATAAGCGCTTCCCTGGCAAGCACAAGGGCCTGAGTTCAATCCCCAGTTCCACCAAAAAAAAAAAAAAAAAAAAAAAACTTATGTGCAAGGGGCAGGGGATGTAGGAATATAGCTCAGCAGTACAGGGCCTGCCTGGCAAGCCCAAGGTCATGAATTCAATTCCCAGTGCCATAAAGAAAGCAAGATTAAATAAAATTTATTTTCTGCTGAGCACAGTGGCACACACCTGTAATCCCAGCACATGGGAGAATGAGGCAGAGAATGCTACGTGTTCAAGGCCAGCCTGAACTATGTAGTGACAAATAAATGTATTTTTAGACAGGATCTTGCTAAGTCACTACATTCCTCAAGCTAGGCTCAAAACTTTCCATCTGAGGCCGGGGAGATGGCTCAGTGGAATAAGGGCTTCCCTGGCAAGCACAAGGGCCTGAGTTCAATCCCCGGTTCTGGAAAAAACAAAAACAAAAAAAAAACTTTCCATCCTCCTGTATCAGCCACTCGATAGTGCTGAGATTACAGGCCCGTACCACCACACCTGGGTAGATAAACAGACTTCTAGTTTCCATCCTAGACTTGAAACAATCCTTGGACTAAGAAACTGCAACGCACTCTCAACTATTTTGCTTACTAAACCTTTAAAAAACATTGCTCTTAGGGTAATGCTTTCTAACCCAGGGGACTTTGGGTCTCCAGGGAACATGGGCCAGCACCGAGACATGGGGGATAATACTGCCATCTAGTGGGCAGAGAATAGAGAGGGTACATGCAAAACATCTTCCAGTGTGTGAGACAGCAGTGCTCCCCACTCCCATTATCTGGCCCCAAATGCCAACAAAGCTGAAGTTGACACTATGTTGTTTTGGTTCCTAATTTCAGTACATGGAGGGTAGTAGAACTCAAAGCCTCAAAAATTCAAGAATACTGGCTAACTCACTAGGAGGCCAGTCCTACAAAGGCTGGGGTCAGTGGTGGCAACCCTATGGTTGTATGTAGCCTACGTACGCTGCAGTAGGCTCTTATCACTGAAAGCTCTAAAAGATTTTTTTTTAATTTTCTTTTTTTACATTTTATTTTATTTATTTGTGTGTGTGTGGCCAGCTCAGCCCACCAGGGGGAGGGGCTGGCTGGCATGTGGTGCTGGGGGATTGAACCGTGGCCCTGTGCTTTGTTTAGCTTAGCTTGTTCTAAGTAGGTGCTTTAGACCACTGAGCCATCTCACCAGCAACCCCTCCCCCTTTTTTTTTTTTTTTT